AAATGAGGGATAACGTGAGGACGGTAATAAATGTCATAGAATATTATGAACAGCACCCGGAAAAACAGCTGGCGTTAGTGTTCTTGGACGCCCAAAAGGCGTTCGACAATTTAAATTGGAAATTTATGATCAACCAAATTGACTTGATGGGATTCGGGACAAATTTTAGAAAGATGATCGAAAATATTTATTATAAACAGAGAGCAAGCATATTAATAAATGGGGACAAGACACGGACATTTTGGATACAAAAGGGAGTTAGACAGGGATGCCCCCTGTCCCCTCTACTCTTTATAATGGCGCTGGAAATCCTACTCAGAAAGATTAGAGATAACAAAGAAATCAAAGGATTACAAACTAAGAAAGAAATCTTTAAAATACAAGCCTTCGCGGATGACGTGGCCTTAATAATGGAAGATCCCTTGAAATCTGGTCCCAAATTACTCCAGGAAGTACAACAGTATGGAGAAGTCGCTGGCTTTAAGCTTAACAAAACTAAAACTAAAATTTTAGCAAGAAATATGACAGAGATAAATAAGAAAGAGCTAGAAAAGTCCCTAGAACTTCAGATAGCAAAGAAAATCAAATATTTGGGAATTTGGATTACTGCAAGGTATTCCTCCTTAAAAGAGGACAATTACAGTCCATTACTACAAAAAATAAAGCAGGACATAGACAGATGGAAGAAGTTAAAACTGTCCTTTACAGGTAAGATTTCACAATTAAAATGAATATTCTCCCCAAGATTATATTTCTATTTCAAACTATTCCAGTGAACATTGATAAAAAATATTTCCTAGATTTGGAAAGGAAGGTGCGAGACTTTTTGTGGGAAGGGAAGAAGGCAAGGATTGCATATAAAACACTGCAAGGGAAGAGAAACATGGGTGGCTTCGGATTACCCGATTGGCAAGTTTATCAGAAAGCGGCCAAATTAGTGTGGATCAAAGAATGGGTTACATTACAAAATAAGAGAATCCTGACGTTAGAAGGCCACGATCTACAGGCAGGCTGGCATGCTTATTTATGGGGCCCAAAGAATAAAAAGAACTCATATTTCTATAGACACAAATTAAGGGAGACCCTGATCCAAACATGGGAAGAAATTAGACAAAGATTTTATACGAAAGTACCGATTTGGCTCTCAATTATGGATTACCACTAATAAAAGGGATATCTTGAAATTTGGCACGTACAAAGATATATTAGATGAAAATGGTATTCTTAGATCACGAGAAACCCTAAGTAATCAAGGTTTTAATTTAGACTGGTGGAGCTACTTGCAGATAAGCTCTAGATATCAAAAAGATAGGGATCAATTTGGTATAGAGACGAAGTACAACAATTTAGATAAAATTATGCTGGGGATTGAAAAGAAAATGCTAGCGAGATTTTACAACCTCTTATTAGGCGAGGACAGAGCAGAAGGAATAGCTAGGAACCAACTAAGCATTTGGGAAAAAAATATTGGCTACAGACTAAATCTTCCGGGTGCGCTTCAAGGTTTTGGTTACCACCTTTAAAGCGCTCCATGGCTTAGGACCTGGTTATCTACAGGACCACCTACTACCACCAATAGCCTCCCACCGGCCAGTACGCTCTCATAGAGAGGGACTCCTCCGGGTGCCGTCAGCCAAACAGTGTCGGCTGGCGACCCCTAGGGGGAGAGCCTTCTCTGTGGGGGCACCTACCATCTGGAATGAGCTCCCCTCAGAGATACGGAGGATCCGGATCTGCGCACCTTCCGCCGCGCTGTGAAGACCTTTTTATTCCATCAGGCGGGCTTGGCCTAATCTCTTCCCTTTTTTAAATATGTAAATTTTAATCTGTTTTTAAATTATTGGGGTGTTTAATCTGTCTGGGCCAAAATGATTTGATTTTATCTGGTTTTTAAATTTTTTGTATCTATGTATTTTATTGTTTGGCTGTTCACCGCCCTGAGTCCTTCGGGAGCAGGGCGGTATACAAATCAAATAAACTAAACTAAACTAAATTTCAATGACTGGAAGGAGGCTTGGAATAGAAATTATAATCTTACTAAATCAGCAATTTACAGGGAGAACCACTATAAAATATTTCACAGATGGTACCTAGCCCCAGCTAGACTAGCAAAAATATTTCCCAGTGCCTCAGCAATTTGTTGGAAGTGTGGAAAGGAGGTCGGCACCTTCTTTCATATGTGGTGGTCCTGCCCGGAAACAAAAAAGTTTTGGACAAAAATACGAATTTGGCTTCGAGAAATAGTGGAAGAAGATATAAAACTATCCCTCGAAATCTTTTTATTAGGAATGATGGGAGACGGACTCTCTAAGGACAAGATACAATTAATTATACATGTTATAACAGCGGCCAGATTAACCTTCGCAAAATACTGGAAGGATAAACAAACCCCTTCAGAGATGACAATAATAAATAAAATCCTAGAATGCGCAGAAATGGCAAAATTAACTAGTGTTCTTAAAGACGATGAGAATTCAAAATTTAAGGCAGTATGGAAAAGGTGGTACAAATGGTGGAATAATAGAACAAGACTGTAAGGATATGTCTATTTCTAACAATGATAGATTTGAAGATACTCGATATGTACATAATGTAAATATGTAATTGCACGACACCTCAGATGTTAACTGAGATTTGATGTTTTCTTTTTAAAAAACCTTTTTTAAAAATCAATAAAGTATTACTAAAAAAAAAAAAAAAGATGTCACAGCGAATATCATGGATACCATCATTCTGATCTTAAGATCCTGTCACTATAGCCTATAAAAATAAAATAAGAATTCTAGAACTCTTCTGGGTTTTGTTTCTTGATTCATCCTCTCTTGAAGAGCTGATATCCATTTTGACCCCAATTTTTCTTTCCAAAACAGGCAAGGCAAAGTCTCATTAAATTTAGGTCCTATCCCTGGGGTTTCTTTGCAACCCTCCAAGCGTTTTCAAACCATTTATTCATGAACTCGTTTTAAACATTCCAGATTGGGCTAAATTGTGTTCATCCCTGGGGTTTTGTACATTTTGTATCACAATACAAATAAGATTTTGAGACTCGTAAAGATGCAGGGAAGAACAGGAAAGGTAAGTAGGGGAGTGGATAAGAGGAATAAGTGAATAAGAGGAAAGGTTGCAGGAACTGGTTATGTCTTGTTGAACGAAGAGAAGGACTGGAAGTGACAGGATGGCAGCCCTCCAATATTGGAGAAGCTGTCACAAAGAAGAGGGGGACAACCTATGTTCCAAAGCACCCGAAGGCAGAACAAGAAGCAATGGCTGGAAAATAAACTAGGGGATTATCCAGCCCAGAACTAAGGAGAATTTCCTGAGAGAGAGAACCATTAACCAGGGCAACGGCTTCCCTCCAAAAGTTGTGGCTGCTCCATCAGTGGAGGGTTTTCAGAAGAAGTCCCTTGTCTGGGATGGGGTAGTAGGATCACTTGCTAAGGCAGGGGGTTGGGCTAGATGACCTCAGAGCTCCCCTCCCAACTCTTCTTCTGAAGGTTTGCTCATTCGGGGCGTGAAAGTTATACAAACCGACCAGTTACCCACAGTCAGCAAACCACCATGAAAGCAAAGCTTATGGGACGGTGTTTCCTGACGCCCCGAAGGGCACAAAAGGGGGGAAATTGTAGCCTCTCCCGCGTCCAAGTCCCCCCCCTCCCCAAACAATCCTGGAAGAAGCCTCTCTGGACTCCGGCCGGCTGGGAAAGAAGCGGCTCCTCCTGCTCCCTCCGAGAGGGAAGCGGCGCTTGCCAGACCCCGAAACTGTAGCAGCTCCCAGCGGAAGAGAGGAAGGATGGGCTAGAGCGTCCTCTCACCTCCCGGAGAGGAAACGGAGCCGGAAAAGGCGGGGAGAAGCCTCTGTGGGGCCCCTCTAGGAATCTCCTGTAGATCTCCTCCCTCTCTGTGGTTTCCCCACTTGCGGCTGGGCGAATTCTTGGCTGTCCGGCAAGGCTGCTCCTCGGCCCCGCTCCGGGCAGGTGGGGCTCCCGCTCTCCCTGGGGCTGCCCGGAGGAAGGTCGCCCCGCTGAGTGCCCGCTGAGCCAGGGGTGCCAGGAGGGTCCCGGGTGGAGGCGGGGCTGGACGGGGAGCCTCTGGGCAAAGGGGGCGGGGGGAGAGGAAGCCCCGCCCCACGGAGGGCAAAGGGCGGGGCTTCTCTTTCCAGGGTCTCAGGGGGGATTATGGGGTCAGTGCAGGAAACAGCCGCCTCCTCCCTTCAATCGGGGGTGGAGGGTTTTCTTTATTGGGGGGAAAAGGGTTAAATGGCTTGAATTGAGCTCATTTCCTCCCAACGGAGAAAAGATCCACTTTCTTTCCCTGTCATCTAAATGGAGAAGAATTGATGTTCTTTGCTTTTATCTTAGTATTTCAATTGTTTACTTTTCTTTCTACAAAGCTGAGTAGGAAAAAAATCCATTATTTGCCTAGTTTTGCTCTGAAGGAGGCTGTGATGTGGCAGCCCCTGGTTGGTGGGTTTTGTCCCTCAGAATAGGGCAGGAAGGGACCAGTTCCGAAGCCTTGGCTAATGGAAGCCTCGGGAGTTACCTAAGGCACATTTTTATTGGCTGCAGGGCCATCTCTACTCCTGTCTTTGAGCTGAGGTCTGCAAGTTGCCTAACTCCTTGTTACTTTTCTCAGCCTTCTAACCACCCAGAATTGTTACCAGCTTTACAACTGCATATTGCCAGACAAACTGCCCAATTACTGGCTTCCTGATTTACTTTCAAGTGTGCGCATGACCTTGCTTTATTGTAGAAAACAGCCCATCACCCCAGCCATGCATACCCAGCTTTTGTGGCTCTTGGTGTTTTCTGTAGGGAATGGGTATCTCTGCCTGTCTCTCTCTGTGTCTCACTGTCTCATCTGTCTTTTGTCTGTCTAGCCATCCTTCTCTCCATGCTCTCCTGCCCAGCTTCACATATTGTGTGAATCCAACCACTTGGGCTGTGGCAGGTAAAGCCAAGCATTGAAGATCCATGCAAAATAAGGCAACTCTAACATGGATCCTGCTGGGGAAATAATCCCCTTTCCTTTCCCTCTCTCCCTGCATGGTGGGGGCCCTGGTGGCCTGAGGGCAGCTCCCTCCTTGGAGGCGGCCAGCAAGCAAACAAACGTGGCTCTCCATCTGGAAGGCACCAACACAGAGCCCCACCTCCAGCTGGTGAGAGCAGAGCAGGCAGCGATGGCTGGGAGGAACGCAAGAACCGAACATTTGGAGCCGCCCTCAGCGGAGTTTGCAAGCGGGCTCAGCGGGGCTCCTTAGCAAGGAGGGGTACCCTGGCCCATTTGTGCCTCTCAGCGTTCACCCTCAAAGACTCCTGTGGGGGGACTGGGAGGGGAAGGTAAGGGGTGGGGCCGGCCAGCGGTGGGAACCCTCAACAGGGAGCCACAGCGGAGGGACAAAAGAGCCAGAGCCAGGGGTTGTCGACAACTGTCCTATACCATTTCAGACGGGTTGCTGTGCATTCTTTTCTTTAAAGCCTCCAGTGTTGGAGCAGCCACAACTTCGGAAGGCCAGTTGTTACACTGATTAATTGTCCTCACTCTTAGGAAGTTTCTCCTTAGTTCCAGGTTGCTTCTCTCCTTGATTTGTTTCCATTGATTGTTTCTTGTCAGGTGCTTTGGAGAATAGGTTGACCTCCTCTTCTTTTTTGACAGCCTCTCAAATACTGGAATAGCAATCATGTCACCCCAATCCTTCTTTTCTCTACCTTAGACTAACCATTTTTGTCAAAGAACGAAATAAGATTGCTTTGGCATGATCTCTTTTTAACAAACCCATAATGGCTTTTAATTATAACTTTGCTTCTAGATGTTAGCAGATCTGTGTTTTTATTATCTTTTCCAGGATCTTCCCAGATATTGAGTTTGGGCTGATTGGTTTGTAGTTTCCATGGTCTCTTTTTTTCCTTCCTTTCTTGAAAATGGGAACCACATCCGCTCTTTTCAGATTCATTGTTGTGTCTTTGGTCTCCATGTGCAGGAGAAGAATTTCTGCTGCATCTTTGATTTTTGCTTCAGGGAAATAACATACCTGCCTAGATTGACTATCTGCTCTGTTTGGCCTCTTTTTTAGAAACTATTGAAGGCTGCTCTTCCATCGGTCTTCCTCTTTAGGTTCATATATAGGGTCAATTTTTTGAAATGGAACCTGTTTGTTCCCTATTGTGTTCAAACTGCATTGCTGGCCCCAATCAATGTATTTGCATCCTCCCTAAACTATAAAGCAACAATAGGAAGCCAATCTTGGAGGGAGACATATTCAATTTGTGCTGGCCCAAAGAACAGTGTCCATGAATACCTACATGGGTTGTACTCTGTACACAAGTAGATCTACCTGGCACATATAAATCCTATGGGGGCTCTTTGCAGTTCGTCTCACTTCATGTAGCATCACCGTCCCGAACACAGGGCAAAAAGGAAAAGGCAGGGATCATCCCCAGTTCAGGCAGACAAATGCCTGCAGGGAGTCTGTCAGCCATCCCTCTCATCATGCTAAGAAAAGGGAAGGGAAGGGAAGGCCAGCTCCACAGGGGGGATCCCAGCATTGCTTTGATTCTGGGGGAGGGAATATATTCTTCCAGCTATTATTTCAGCTATTTGGAGAGCCAAAGAAACTAAATCTTCCTCTCTCCTTTTCTTCTTTTATCTTCATCCTGCAGGTGCCACCAAGAAACCCTTTGGACAAAGTTCTGCTTGCAGGACCCAATCTGGGTCACTCACCGGGACCAGAGGTTTCATCTTCTCAGTTTTTGGATTCATGCTGGAGCCCATCCTCCTGCCCATCTTCCAACCTTTTGGCCAAAGTTCTGCTTGTTCGAGTTTCCCATGATGGAAAGCCCTGGAAGTGAGCAGCCCCTGGAAACTACGCAGAGGGGGGAACACTTTGTCCAAAGGTCTCCTCAGAGGAATCAGGAGAAACTCTCCAGATGCTCCGAGTGTGGGAAATCCTTTGCTCACCGGTCCCTCCTTTTGATCCACCGGACGCTGCATAAGGGGAATGGATCCCACCTGTGTTTCCTTTGTGGGAACTCCTTTCCTGGACTGTGGAGCTTTGCCAAACATCTCCGGAGCCACCCTGGACTGAAGCCTTACAAATGCGGAGAGTGTGGGGAGCGTTTTGCTAAAGGCTCAGACCTTGGAGCCCATCAGCGAATCCACCAGGGAAAGAGATCTCAGGAATCCTGGAAGCGCTGGGGAAGATTTCCTGAGAGATGGCGTCTTTCTAGGCCTCAGAACAGCCCGACTGAAGAGAAGCCCTGCAAGTGTGTGCAATGTGGGCTGTGCTTTCCCCAAAACTCACAGCTACTTAAACATCAGCAAATCCACACCAGAGGGAAACCTTATCAATGTCTGGAGTGTGGGAAATCTTTCCGTTATAAACAATTATTTAGAAAACATGAGAAAAGTCACACAAGGCAGAGTCCTTATAAATGCTTAGAGTGTGGGAAATTTTTCACTCGGAGCTCAACTCTTTGCAAACACAATAAAACACACACAAAGAAGCAAAGCAAAACGTGTCTAGAATGTGGGAAGTGTTTTTCCAGCAAATCATGCCTGCTGAAACATCAGAGAATTCACACTGGGGAAAGACCCCATGAGTGTCCAGAATGTGGGAGATGTTTTGGCAGAAAGTCAACCCTAATTCAACATCAGAGACTTCACACTGGGGACAGACCCTATCAATGCCCAGAATGTGAGAAACGATTTGTCAGTTCTTCTAAACTTCGGAGCCACCAAAGGACGCACACGGGAGAAAAACTATATAAATGTAAGGATTGTGATAAATGTTTTTTTTTTAAGGAAGGTCTTTTTCGACATCAGAGTATCCATACAGGGGTGAAGCCCTATATGTGCATCGAGTGTGGAACATTTTTCCGTGCAAAAGAAAACCTCAGAAGGCATGAGAATGTTCACAGAGGGGAAAAAAACTTCAAATGTTTAGAATGTGGGAAAGCATTTACTCATTCATCATCCCTTAGAATGCACTGGCAAACTCATACGGGTGAGAAACTCCACAAATGCTCAGTGTGTGAGAAATCTTTCAGCCGGAAAGGTACACTTGCGATACATCAGAGAATCCACTTAGAGAAGCAATATAAATGTCCAGAGTGTGAGAAAACTTTCCGTTGCAAATATTCTCTTAGAAAACATGAGAGGATTCACAAAGGAGAGAAGCCTTTCAAGCGTGTGCAGAAAAATGAAAAGTGCCCAGAATGTGGGAGATGTTTTGGCAGAAAGGCACACCTAATTCAACATCAGAGTCTTCACACCGGAGAAAGTCCCTATCAGTGCCCAGAATGTGGGAGATGTTTTGGCTATAAGCAACACCTAATTCGACATCAGAAACTTCACACTGGAGAAAGACCCTATCAGTGCCCAGAATGTGAGAAAACATTTGTGGAGTCTGCTGAACTTCGGAGACATCAGAAGGGGCACACAGGAGAGAGGCCCTATAAATGTGGGGAATGTGGAAAAAGTTTTCTCACAGCAACACTGCTTCGGGTTCATCAGAGAATCCACACAGGGGAGAAGCCATACCTGTGTGTGGAGTGTGGGAAAGGTTTTTCCCAAAAACAACACCTTGGAAAGCATCAAAAAATCCATACTCGGGTGAAGCCATAGAGATGCATAGAGTGTGGTAATGTTTTGCTCAAAAGCAAGACATCAGAAAAATCACATTCAGTTTCCAAAATAGGAAAATGGAAGACAAAATAGAATTGATGAGGAAAAGTGATTTAGGAGAAATGATACAAAAGTAAGACATTTGGATATTGTTACAAAAAATAAAATTCAATGTCAAAATAATTCTGAAAAGGGATGGAATCAAATTGAAAAGGATCTAGTAAAATGGGAAAAAAATACAATTGTCATTGATTATAGAAGTTCTATAATTAAAAGCGACTATATTACTAGATTGATGTTTCTATTTTAAACAATACTTATCCGGAGAATGGGTGCATCACATAAACAATGACAGGAAGATATATCTAAGTTTCTATGGCAGGAGAAAAACCAAGAATTTAATTTAAAACTGTTCAAGACCAAAGAGAAAGAGGACAATTAGGATTTCCTAATTAAAAATTGTACTTTGCAGCCTGTTTGCTTTGGATGAAAAAGTGGGTATTGCTGAGAAAAGAGGATTTTAAAATAGAAATGGTATGGCTTTTTTATGGTTCAGCTTCAACAAGGGCCCGGAGGGAGGGGTCCCCCTGGTTGAGATGTGCCCACCAGGCTTCAGAGCGTTCCATCAGCCGAGGGCCCAGGGGAGGGGAGGGGGGGGTGGCGGTTATTATTAAAGAAGGTCTCGGTCCAAAGATTCAATTGAAATAAAATTCAATCTCCAAAGAGCTAAGGTGGCTCGGATTACTTTGTGTTAAAATAAGGCTTTTCGTTTTACTGACGAAGTAAACTTCTAAAACAACATACACACAAACTTTGCAAAGGTGATTGAAACATGCAGCCCTAGGCCCCTTTATGGCAGGGCAATCTTCTTAGCTAGCCCAAGAATTGTCTTTCTCTTTCTGTCCTTTTACTGCCAAAGATGATTCAAACATGCAACCCCTGGGCCTCTTTATGGCAGGGCAATCTTCTTAGCTAGCACAAGAATTGTCTTTCTCTTTCTGTCTTTTACCGCTGAGCAGAATACTTCACTCAAAGAGAAGGAAAGCAAGTTTTGTCACTTTCGTGGCTAAGCAAAGGTCTCAATTAGATGCAAACAAAGTCCTTTTATAAGTTGTGTGCAGAGAAGAGATGCATTTTCACTCAAACAGAATGTCCATCAATGCTCCGAAAGAAAGGGAGGGGGTCAGGCATCTACATCCTTTTACTGTTCTGTTTCCCCAGGCATCTGGCTCCACTGGGAACAGGCAGATAAACTCTAGCAAACAGGTTTTCATGCAGATTATATTTATTTGGGAATCCTTGAACACATAAGACTTACAATCATAGTGAGTCCAGGTGAGGTGCATCCATATTTCATAATCTGTCCCATTTCCTAGCATAAAAGGATGGTAGTTCTGACTCCCTGTTCAGAAAGCATGTTCTCTCTTCTGAGGTAATTCAACATATGGCCAGGTCTTTGTCCTAAAATCCCGGCAGAGCACCTCAGTGGCCAATCAGACACATAGATAAGGTCACATGTCATGGACTACATTTCCCATAATGCAATCTCTCACTACATCTCCCACAATGCAATCTCTTAAGGAGACAGCTCTTAATTCTTAAGGTAACTAACTCACCACAACTCACTATCTGTAACAGCACACCGGGGACCACGACGACCTTGTCTTCCGCCTCTGCCTCTGCCTCCTCTGGAATCTGTTCCTCTGGGCTGGTACGAGACGGGAGCTGGAACTCGTTGGGGACAATCCCGGGTGGCATGTCCCACACGATCACAGATGTAGCATCTTGGCATCCTTGGAACGAAGGCTCTTCCTCGGAAGGGACGCCTCGCTGGAGCTCTTGATGCAGGTGGTCCTCTCAAATGTGGCGTGGCTAACATGAGTGCTTCTTCTTCAATTAAAAGTTTGCACACATGGTCCACTGTGCGTTGAGCAATAGGCACTTGGTTAATTTTTGTAATGGCATCTTTCCATTCATAATTCAATGAGTTAATAATAATGCTGATCATTTGAATATCATCAATATTATAGCCTCTTTCTCAATTCTGTTCTGATTCCTTTCAGTTTGGTTAAATGTCCTCCAATTCGTTCACCAGGTTTCAATCTCGAACCATGGAACTCAGACATGAGTAAACATGAAGATTCAATTGAAACCGGCCTGTAGCAATTTTCCAATTGGGCCCAAATTTGTTGGGCTGTAGCATTAGGCGGAAAGGTGACCTGCAGTTCAGTATCCATGGACATCAATAATGTTGTGCAAGCTCTAGTCTCTAAGTCTCTTATTGCAGGAGTCCATGGCTGAGCAGGAGGATTAAAAATCATACAGTGAGTGCCTTCTCTGCGAAGTAACAATCCAATCTCACTGACCCAGGCCTTATAATTCTGTCCTGACATCTTTAATTTGGACTCACCAGCTAGTGGAGCAACAGAAAATGCCTGGTGAGGAACATGCATTTGGTACGCTGGCTGTGCCGGTAAAAATGCTGGCTGCGGCTGCTGCACTGGAATCTGCTGTACTCCAGCTGCCATTTGTGCTTGAGCTTGGGGCTGTTGCATTTGAGCTGCAATATTAGCATGACCTGCTGGAGACGCAGTCATTTGCCTTTGCTGCATTAAGCTTTGTTGTATTCCATCTAAAAGGACACCAGCACCACCAGGGGGTGCTGAAGTTTGGGCCTGTGGAGACACTTGTGGCATTGCAGCCTGAATATCTGAATGAGTTAAGGACATGTTTGCTAAAGTCTGCTGCAATACTTTAAAATGTCCATGTAGACTGCGTTGCCTTTCAGCTTTCTCTAGTAAATTACTTTCGCCAAAGATGGTGCTGCACCTTTAGTTTCGGGCAGCTCAGATAATTTCTGTGCCTTCGTGGCATATGTAATCTCAGAAGGGAGGACTTTGTGTGACGTGTGCACTGCTCTCTGTTCTGATTGGCCTGACACAAAATCCACCAGGGGGAGTGTCTTTGGCTCTGAAGGAGAAGCCAAAATGGCGCTTTTAGAGAATTTTAAGTCACGAGGCTTGCTCTCTCCTTGCTCAAGCATAAATAAATCCATTTTTGCCTGGGATAGCTCATGTTCATAAAATTTTATACAGTCATGATAGGCTTTTATAGCCAGCTCATCCAGGGTGAGCTCAAGGGTGCGAGGAGAATGATGAATTATTTCTCTCTCTGCGTGGGAGGAGATATGCTCGGCAGTTTGTGAAAACTTTGGCCTTGCACCAAGCGTTACAAATTCAGAAGGTTCTGGGAGGACTATTTTAGAGCTTGCAAATTCAGAAGAAAACGCTACTGACCTTAGTTGTAGCTCGTTATCTTCAAAAGCAATTTTTCTGTTATCTCCGTCCGTTTCTTCTCCCACTGCTTCTTGTTCCAGGCGTGTGGCTGAAGCAAGGGGCTGGAAGTCTGAAAACCTTTTTCCTGCCTCCTCTTCGTTGGAAAGATCAATCAAATCATTTACGAAGAGTAGTTTTAGTTTCATTTTTCCTTTTTTCTTATTTTTCGGCATCTTAGCAGACAGATTAATTAGCGTTCCTCAGTCGCAAAAAATAATCATCTAGCTAATTAGCCTAGAGGTTTTATCAAAGTAACAAGCAAGGAAAAAGCCATAAGTTTAACCGTCCATCTGCTCCGTCTCAAACCATCCTCTGCTACCAGGTGTCAGGGTGATGATTAATCCCATCCTGGGATAATCGCACCTTAATTGAGGGGATGGTTCGAGACCTTTCCTTGCGAGCAATACTTTAAGAAAACAAACCCGAAGACATATCTTCTAAGAAAACTCATTTATTTGTTATAAAGAAAAATAAAACATCTCACTATCTAATATAATTACATCTTGGCAACGAGGTCTCCTGCCGGACTTCTCTGGCAGGAGAACAAAGGAAGAAGAGTGTGTGAAGGAATGTGGGTGGATGGACATGCGCGGTAGCATCAGAGATAAGGACTTGGCAATCTACGGTGAGTCTTAGAGTTCAAAAATAATAGAGCTGGTAAATATAAAAACGCAGTGACACTCTCGCCCCTTCTGTTCAACATTTATTTGAAGCCGCTGGGTGAGATCATCCGTGGCTTTGGGGTGAAGTACCATCAGTACGCTGACGACATCCAGCTGTACATTTCCACCCCAGGCCACTCCAATGATGCCCTTGAAGTGATGTCCCAGTGCCTGGAGGCTGTGCGGATCTGGATGGGGAGGAACAGGCTCAAGCTCAACCCTTCCAAGACTGAGTTGCTGTGGTTCCCGGCATCCCGATATAGTCAGTTGACTCCATCACTGACTATCGGGGGCGAGTCTTTGGCCCCCTGGAGAGGGCACGCAATCTGGGTGTCCTCCTGGATACGCAGCTGTCTTTAGAGGAACATCTGACGGCTGTAGCCAGGGGGACCTTTTGTCAGGTTTGCCTGATCTGCCAGTTGCGGCCCTTTCTTGATTGGGATTCCCTGTGCACAGTCATTCATGCCCTCATCACCTCGCGCCTGGACTACTGCAACGCTCTCTACATGGGGCTCCCCTTGAGGAGCACCCGGAGGCTTCAACTGGTCCAGAATGCAGCCGCGTGGGTAATTACGGGAGCTGCCTGGCGCTCCCACATAACACCGCTCCTGTGTGAGCTGCACTGGCTCCCAGTGGTCTTCCGGTTGCGCTTCAAGGTGTTGGTCACCACCTTTAAAGCGCTGCATGGCATAGGACCTAGTTATCTTCGAGACCGCCTGCTGCTACCGATGACCTCCCACCGACCTGTGCGCTCCCACAGAGAGGGCCCTCTCGGGGTGCCATCAGCCAAACAATGTAGGCTGGTGACCCCCAGGGGGAGAGCCTTCTCTGTGGGGGCACCTACCCTCTGGAATCAGCTGCCCCTAGAGATAAGGAGAATTGAAGACCTCAGTGCCTTCCGCCGTGCCCTTAAAACTTTCTTTTTCCAGCAAGCCGGGCTGGCTTAACATAACATATTTTTAAACATTTTTAACTGGTTTGTCATTTTAAATTGGGGCCAAATTAATATATATCCTTTTAATTGTTTTTAATGTTTGTATTGTATGTTTTTAGCTGGCTGTACACCGCCCTGAGTCCCTTGGGAGAAGGTGCGGTATATAAATTCGAAATAAATAAATAAACAAACAATGGAAACATAGACAGTGCCCAAAAACAATGTCTCAGCACAAGAAGCATTTGATGGAAAAGAAAGAGTAGACCACAATAAATGGATACAGTGTAATATCCTGATGTCTTATACTTTTTGTCTCCTTTCCTTGAATTGCTTTTCCCCATCAATTTGTCAATACAGAT